TCTCTCTCTCTCTCTCTCTCTCTCTCTCTCTCTCTCTCTCTCTTTCTGGCTCTTGCTCTCGCTTTCTCTCTCTCTCCTTCCCCCCTTCCTCCCTCTCTACCTCTCTCTCTCTGTTCTCCTTTATACATATATACACAGAAATACATGTATGTACATGTATATGTACATACATGTAAATATATACATAGTAGACATATATTTGTGTATTTATAATGACTCCAAAGCTTAAGAAATAAGGTAGAATTCTACAAGGTAATTATAAATTGTTTCTACTGGAAGAAATTAGATTGCTGTGTGTATTAGTACTGGATGATATATATACTCTGATTGTTTCTTTTATAACTCTTTGGTAGGCTATCAGGTTTGGGCTTTTAAGCCAGTTGGAGATTGAATTGACAGCAGTTTCAGTTACATTACTAAAATTAAATAATTGTTCATTTCTATTGAGATGCCAAAAATTGCCCAGTAATGGGAAATATATTATCTTGAATAGGACCAAGTTATCTTAGAGGAAAAATATAGATAACACTAAACTACTCTTGCCTGCTTTTGTTTCAGTTTTTTAGATAAACTATCTTAATCTTACCATTCATAATTTTTCTTTTAAAATAAACTTTCTTATTCAGACTGAATTTTAAACTAACAAATGTGCAGAACTGTAGGAAATGAACATATCACATACATGTATATAAGAAAATCCAATGTTTCTGAATCTGAGCCACTAATGTAGTAGTTATTTTGTTGCAGAGTGGAAATTCAGAGTTCCATTTCATATTTTGAGGATGGATTGCTACGAAATAGTGAGAAGTTAAGGATGAGGATCTCTTTGGTTGCTGTGTGGAACATTAATTTCAATTTCAAAAGACATTCCGTTTTACAAACCCCCTATGGGGGGTTAAATGCAGCAAAAGAGACAGGCCAGGAAGATGCTTGGGATAGGGAATAATTAAGCAGTAATGAATGAGGCACAAGGCATTTCCTGGAGCTAAATGACTAGCTGTTCAGAATTGATGGCCTATGGTGCAGTCAGGCACAATTAACACTAGCTGGCTGTTAATCCCTGGAATTGCCCCGAACTCAAATAAATTAGCAAGGAGGGTGGGGGGGAGCAGGGAGACATAAGGACTTTTTTTTCCAGGGATGCAAATTTGAGTTATTTATTTTAAAGTATTTCTAGGCATTTAGTTCTTATGAAGGACTTACTCTCTAACATTTAATTTAGAAAAAGAGAAAAATTGGTAAAAGGGTAGGAATATGAATTTCATCATTCTCCTTCCCTCCCCCAATCCAGTTTCCTTTTAGCTTATTTTGAGGTGGGTTTTGTCTTTGAATCAACTGCTGACAGCTTATTAGTTGGTATGGATAGGAGGTCTACAAGTTGGGAGAGGTGCAGGCTAGGGAAATTAAAACATCAAGTTCATTGGTTTCTCCGCCCAACTCAATTACCTGCAATTTTTTAAAATGAATAGCTTTGTGCTCCCTTGGTTGCTTTGATGTGAAAGACTGCAAGACAAAAAAATTCTACAACTAGCATCTTATGAAGAAGGTGTGACTTACAAGGCCTGTGGTTCATTATTGAGGTTGGAAAAATATTTTATAATGTGGGAAGAAGCCTTAGTTGATTTAACTCTTTTATTTGATTAACACTAATAAACAAGGTACATTTTTTTCTAATTGCTTTTTTCCTCTTGGAAAGATAACTTTTGTGTCATCAAGGGGTAGGCTACTTTTCTTAAAGAAAGAAGCATTGCAAAAATACATAATGAACAAAGTCTTTCTTAATAATGATTAAAGACATTACTTATGTAGATTCCCAAAATGTCAAAGTAAAATCTAAGCTAGTAATTCAGACACTTGATCACTTTTTTAAAATGACCCTCAAATATTAATTGACATTGGAATAAAACTTAGCACTTGACAATGCTTTAAAAATGTTTTTGTCAGGTCATATAGTCTAAGTAATATGAGTCTACATAGCTGATTTCTTTTCTTTTTTTTTGATAGTTTAAAAGCTGCATATAATATTATTTTGGAGGCCATTTAGAATACAAAAGTCAAAAGGTTGTCTTCATATTACAGTAGAAATTCTGAAATTAATTACATATTTTCAGCAACTTGTGGGGCCATGCAGAGTCATCTTCACACTAGACATTTTCTGTCCTGTCATTTATAACCCTCCCCTCTCACACCTTGCTTCTGCTTCTGCTCCACCCCCTAAACCAGACAAACAGAGACCATGCCAAGAAGGAGGAAAGTCATGGAGTTCTTAACTTCCTGAAACCATGAAACCTCATCTTCATGCTGCCAATGTCCACCTTGCCATCTAAGCATGTGCTGGTAAATGTTTAAGAACTGGCTCTCCAAATACACACACATACACACATACATGCACACATATGTATATGTAAATATACACACATGCACATTTAATCTACAATTTTACGTTTCTCCATCATCTTTCTAAGATTAGACAATCAACAAAGCAATACATCAAGCTTTGATCTGTAAGTTTTGCCCGTCTCCAAGATATACTCACCCTGAAAAAGAAACAATTGACTCTCAAGAAATGGTTCTAGAGCACGCTCCAGCACACCCCTTTGCTCTGTAGCCAAACCATCCCTACCCCACTTTCCACCTTTTGCCTAAGAACTATAATGAAATCATCAAAACCATTGTCTATGGTAAGTTTAATCATTTAACCGAACTATTACTCTTTTCACTGTCTTTGTGATTTCTGACACCATAACTCACATTCTTGGCCATCACTGTTTCATCAGAATAGATGCTCCTGTAGTAATTGAACTAACACAAATTTGGGTTTATATCCCCAGAAGTAAGCACAGTGCTTGGCACATAGTGATGAATAGATGCTTTTAATTCATTTGTTGATTCATTCATTTACTACAGTATAATAAATAATTTAATTGTGTTGAAGTACTTGAAATTTATATATGCCAAGTAAAAATTTCTTCTGCCATTTTAAGAAAAAAACTAAATAAATATTGGTTGTGGATGTTAGTAGATAATAGATTTGAATGAAAATTTTGTTTATGATCTAATCTGAAAATAAAAAAAAATGTATCATAAAAATAATTGTTTTATTTTTAAGATAATGTGGCAAAGAATACTGGGTATGGAACCTCAGGACCTAAGGTCACATTCTGGATTCGCCAATACCTGCTTCTAAGACCCGAATTAGTCAAGGTATTTCATCTCTCTAGTCTCAATTTCCTTATCCGTAAAGGGAAGGGGCTAAGCTAAAATACATTTAATGCTTCTTTGAACTCTAAAACTGTGATCCCATGATGAATATTCTTAAAAACAAATCCCCACAAATTTCTACAATGATATAAGTAATAGCCAGGTGAAAATATTTGGAATTGCAAATTGTAAATTTAGTACTTGGCAACTTTGGAAGTATTTGATTTATAACTCTTGAGTTTGTTGAAATCTAACTATGATTTTAGGGATTCATATTTTGGTAACGTTGGAATGTTGGTAGAAAAACAATAGTAACCTTGGTTTGGGACCAGAGAGCAATAGAAGTGATAGGAACCAGTTTTGTTTTGTTTTTTTTTATCAATTAGTTTGCAAGCATTTATTGAATATCTGAATTTTTTTAGGTGCTAGGGACACAATACAAAAAGTGAATTAGTCCCTCCACTCAAAGATTTTACATTCTTTTGGGGAGAAAACATGTACATACGTAAATATATATGGAATAAATCTATGCAGAACAAATATAAGGGATGGAGGGAAGGCAATAGCAGTAGAGGGGAGAAGGGCTGAAAATGCTTCATATAGGAACTGATGCTTGAGCCACATATTGAAGGGAGAAAGGAATTCTACATGTCAGAGATGGATCCAAAGTGCATTCAGTGCCAAGGTATGTAGATGGGAGATGGAGGATCCGTGTGTGAAGAACAGAAAGAATCTAAACAGAAAGTTTGTCTTGATTGTACAGTGTAGGAAGGGGAGAAGTGTATAGTGAGACTAGAAAAAATAGGTTGAGGCTAGGTTGTGCAGTGATTTGAAATACAAAGAGATAAATTTATATTTTATCCCAGAGGCAAAAGAGTTTTGTTTTGTTTTCATCAAGCAAAAGTTTCATGGTCAGATTTATATTTAAGGAAATTCACTTTAGTAGCTTTGTGGCAAATGGGTGAGAAAGGGGAGACTTGAAGCAGAGGGGACAACTAGGAAGTCACTGAAATAGTCTAAACAAGAGATGATGAGAGCATGAACTAAGGTGGTCGCTCTGTGAATAGGGAGAATGGGTCAGATGTGAGAAGTGATTTAGAGATAGACATAGTGAGATTTGTCAACCATGCTCTGTAGACTTTGTCTCCATTGCTATGACTGTGAAGGTATCTCAGTACTTTATATTTTGTTCATCTAGTCATTGACATATGCCTACACATACATATTTTAGTTTGGCAGAAGATTTCTTTAAGCTGTTGCTTGGAAACTAATCTGAAACTTCTGGACTGCTGTGATGAATAAGGTTTGTTTTGCAAACCTTAGAGTTCTATATAAAGTGCTATATAAATTATTCTCACCTCTCTACCTTTTGCAATCTGATTTCTGACCTCATTACTCAATTGAAATTGTACTCTCCAATGTTACCAGTGATCTCTTAATTGACATATTTGATGGATTTTTCTCATATATAATCTCATTTTACCCTCACATGTTAAATCTGGAAACTAGGTGCTATTATTATTTCCATTTTAAAAACCAGAAGACTGAAGTAGGCAGAGACATTTTTTTGAGGCAAGATTCAAACCCAGGTCTTCCTGAGTCCCAGTATAGCACTCTATCTACCTGGCTTCTTCTTTTGCTATGAACAAATCAGTTAAAGGAAAGGCTTCTTAATTCACTACAGCCAGACAGAAGAAGTGCCAAACAAAGCAGATTTGGTGTTGCTGGACTGAGAGCCAGCCTCAGAACCCAGAAGACCTAGGCTCAAGTTCTGCATCTGACATACATTCTGGCAGTGTTCCACTATCACTTAATCTCTCATTGCTCCAGGTGCCTCTCTAAGATGGTATGTTGCAAAAACAACACTGATCTAAACTAGCAGAAAGTTGCCTTACTTGATAATTCCCTGTAACAATGAAATCACAAGTTTAGTCCCCATCCTCTATCCAGACAGAGATGGTACAAAGTATGAGCAAAGAACTGCCCAGGGTGTAGAAGCAATAAAACATAATAAAAGATACTTAAATGTTACTTTTAAAGGTGAAGATTTTTTCCTATTTAGAAAAAAAATCAATTTTCCATGACACATATAGGCTTTATCTTATGATGTCATGTTACATGTTTTACAGTGAAGGATGCACAAAATCCTCCAGGGGTTAAAACAGAGAGGACAGTCCGTACAAGTGACTACAATACCTAGGAAGCACAAATGCCTCGTGCAAAGATCTGGGAGTCTGAATTTCACTAAACAAATGAGAGGGTCTGTGAGATTGAGTGGCAGCAGGATATCAGGGTGTGTGTATGTCAGCCGTGTCCATGGGAGTACATCTGGGTGTTCTATAGCTATAGAAGTCTGTGTTACTATACTTTTGTTGATGTTGTTGTTTAGATGTTTTCAGTCATGTCTGACTCTTTGTGACCCCATTTTCTTGGCAAATATACTGGAGTGGTTTGTCATTTCCTTCCCCAGCTCATTTTACAGAGGAGGAAGCTGAGGCAAAGAGGGTTAAGTGACTTCCCTGGAATTACACAATTAGTTTCTGAGGCCAGATTTGAACTCAAGTCTTCCTAACTTCAGGTCCAGCACTCTATCCATTGTCACCTAGCTACCCTGTGTTTATTACATAGACATCATATTCAGGTCACACAAGGAAGAAGAAAAAAATGGAATAAGCACAGAGAGATGGAGGAAAATATATCAGAAGAAAAAGCAAAAGAAAAAAAGAGATGAAACAAGTTCTGGTTTTAAATTGATAAATTTCATTAGAAAGTCATATCTTTTTTATTGATACTGACATATGAAATTTTGATTCTTTTTGCAAACACTAGATATTCTGTTCAATAACCACTAACTGATTCCTGAGGATGTAATTTACAGAAGATATGCTGCTAAAAATGTGTTATCAGATTCACTAGTAATTTTAATTTTCTTTAAAATTTAGAAACATATCTTTTGAAACACAGTCCACAAACCTAAAGCTTATGGGTTTGGTCTGTTTTTCACTTGTCAGTTATTCAAGCTTCCTTTCTTTTTCAATCACAAGGTTGTGAAATGTAAAACATCTTGTTTCGTTGGGTTATTTAAAATGCCATCTGACCTTTCTTTATCTCCCCAGCATTTATCACAGAGCCCAGCAAATAGTAGGCACTTAAAAATGATTCTTGACTAGACCATGCTCTGTGAACTCATCCATGAGCATAACTCTTCAATAATGCAAATTGCAGCCTATCCATAGCTGTCTGTCCTGTAAGAGACTCTCCATAGTATCATAAAAAAGTCCTTGGGACATGAAAATGACAATGCATTATTGAAAGCTATCCTAGTAAAACCCAAGCTCTGGAAAGTTCTGTTGTTGTTCAGTCATTTCAGTCATGTCCGACTCTTCATGATGCATTTAAATAACCCCACAAAACAAAAATGTTCTACATTCCACAACCATGTTATTTTAAAAAAAGAAAGCTTAGAGACAAATGAAAAAACAGACCAACCTCTTAAGCTTCAGGTTTGTGGGCTGTATTTCAAAAGATATGCTTCTAAATTCTAAAGAAAATTAAAATTACTAGTGAATTTAATAAGCCATTCTTAGGAGCATATCTTCTATAAATTAAGTGATTTTCCTGGGGGGGGGGGGGGTCACACAGCTAGTAAGTGTCTGAGGCCAGATTCGAACTCAGGAAGATGAGTCTTGCTGACTCCATTCCCAGCACTTTATCCACTGCGCCACCTAGCTGCCCTGGAAGGTCTACCATGTTGGAAAGTTTTCAGGTATGTTCCTAGCAAGAGACTGTCTTCCAAGGACCAAGACAGTTAATGCCATGGAAATTAATGGATAAGAAAACTCCAAATGGCTCCCAGTCCTATACAATCCCCCTTCTACTTCTACAACTCAGTGGTAGAGTGATGGGACAGTGGCAGAGCATGTGAAAATTACACCTGTAAATATGACTACAATGGACACAGTATAGTTAAACTATAAAAACATTGGAAGCAAGCACACTTACAGCGAGAGATTGGGCAGTAATCCCAAGGAACTAGCGGATTGCCTGTGTAACACCAGGGCCCATGGGCATCATCATCAGGATTACGGCAGTAATTCTTATTCAGTTTACTAGCATCTGGTTCCCAGAAAGTATGCCTGCATAAAAACATGTCACGAACATCATAAGATCTTCACTACAAGAAAACAAAATATTACAAAGACAGCCCATAGTTTGCATTATAGATCTTAAACTCTCACCATTTATGTAAAAGTGTATATATGTTTCAATGAACCCTTTCTTTAGAAACATCCAACTTAAATTAGGGACATAAAGAATTCAGAAACTTTCATTTTATATGACTAGAATTCTTTCCTTTTCAACTGAAATATTTTAGTCAGAGATATAAGAACTGTAGGGCAGATACAGTTCTTTGCAACTTTTTATTGGCTTGTTTTGCTATCTATTCCATAACTGCTCCTCTGAAGTAAAGAGAAAGAGAGAATAAAGGCATCCAAAATGCAAAAGCCTTGACAGGCAGGAAAAAAAGATTTTATATTTAAATCCATATATGAATGTATATTTATTTTATATCTGTGCAAATGTTTGTAGGTTTTGCATCATTTGCAGTTTTCCAAAGAATATGAGTTTAAGTAATAATGGAAACAGATCCAGACCTAGGGAAATCAAATTACAAAAAAAAAAATACATATAATAAAAATGGAAAACATAATCATACTAGTACTTAATTACTTCATACTTCTTCATGTTCATGAAATACAATACTACTGAGAAATATGGGAAGACCTACTACAAAATGTTATTTGAGTAAGATTTTTATATATGTATTTTACTAGACTTATTTCTAATGATGTCTTTAGTTTAAGGCCATTATTGAGAAAGCAATTTGATATATAAGTCCTCCAATAGCTTGCCTATTCAAGCCTTCCCTCTTTTCTCAATTTTCATCCTCGTCCACTGCCTCCTTCCTACTACATACAACCATGCCTATTATCTTCTCTAACCTTAACACTATTACTGGATCCTACTACCCCTGAATGTATCCTGTAAATATGCCTTTTCCCAAACACCTAAAAAAAGACAGTCTCTCATCGTTGTCTTTACTTTATCACCTCCCACTTATTTCTCAATTCCACTGAAATTTCTCTGGAGTCACCAATGAAGGAAGAAAAGAAGGATCAAATATCTAGACTTAATAAAAAAAAAAACTAGAAGTTATCCTCAACTCTTTCCCCTTTGTACTGGTCCCCTTATAACCAGTCAATGTCTGAATCTTGTTAATTTTATCTCTACAACATTCTATTTTTTTCACTTATGTGTCTGCCATATACGTGTGTGTGTGTGTGTGTGTGTGTGAGGCCCTTCTTGTTTCTCATCTAGACTACTGAAATAGCCTCCTTATTGATCTCCTTACCATTCTCTCCCTTCTCCAATCCATTTTCATCATAGCTGCCAAACTAATATTTCTAAAGTCAGTTAGTAAAACATTCATTAATTATGCACTTATTATGTGTCAAGTACTATGTTAAGTGCTAGGAATACAATGAAAGGCAAAAATACTGTCTGCTTTCAAGGAGCACTTGTTCTAATGGAAGAAACAATATTCAAAAAAAAACCTGTGTATACAAGATATAGACAGTGCAAATGAAAAATAATCTCAAAAGGAAAGGCACTAGCAGTGAGGTAAGGGAGTATGGTAGAGGAAGGGCCTCCTGAAGAAGGTAGTATTTGAACTGAGTCTTGAAAGTGCTGGAGGTGAGGAAGGAGAACAATCCACACATGGGAGACAGTCAGTGAAAAGACACATAATGACCATATCACTCTCCTGCTCTAAGAGTTTTAATGGTTCCCTGTCGTCTTTAGGGTTGCACAGCTAGATGGTACAGTGGATAGAGTTCCGGGCCTTGAGTCGTGAAGACTCATCTTTCTGAGTTCAAATCTGGCCTCAGACACTTAATAGTTAGGTAACCCTGGGCAAGTCACTTAACCCTGTTTGCCTCTGCTTCTTCATCTGGAAAAGGAAATGGCAAATCACTCCAGTATCTTTGCCAAGAAAACCCCAAATGGGGTAATAAAGAATCAGGATATATGAAGGAATCACAGGATACATAAAAGAGTCACTGATATATGAAAGTAATGTATATATATTTCAAAGAACTCTCTCTTTAGAAACTGACACGGAGTCAGATGCAACTGAAACAACTGAACAACAACAAAAAATTGCCTTTAGGATAAAATACACATTCCTTTGTTTTGCATTTAAAGTTCAAAGCTTAAACCTATATTTCCAGACAAAGTTCACAACAATCATCCTAATTTACTCTATGTTCCCAACAATTTGTTTTAGTTGCTGCTCCTTAACATAGCATTCTCCTGTCTTCATTCTTTTGTACAACTTTTTCTATGCCCGAGGTTTTTTCCCTTCTCAATTACATTTTTTGGAATATCTAACTATAACAAAGACTGAAATAAAAAGCCAGTTCCTACATAAGACCTTTCCTGATTCCTCCCAGTTATTAGCACTTTTTCACCCCCTTCTCAACTCTAGAATGTAATCTATCTGAAGGCAGTCTCTCTTTTCATTTTTGTCCTTTTATCCTCAGAGCCTAGAACAATACCTGGCATGTAGTAAGTACTGAATAGTATCTCTTTTTTTTTTTTTGGTGAGTTAGTTGGGGTTAAGTGACTTGCCCAGGGTCATGCAGCTAATAAGTATCAAGTGTCTGAGGCCAGATTTGAACTCAGGTCCTCCTGACTTCAAGGCCAGAGCTATATCCACTGTGCCACCTTGCAGCCCCCTGAATAATATCTCTTGATTTGAATTGAAGTGACCTTACAAAGTCTTAAATCTCACATTTCTGCCATAATCATGTCCCTTCTCCTCCCACTCCTGATTTTCAAATTCTGTGATATCCTTATGTGTAGTCTTTGTCCTATGAACCGGGGAATGCCATTTGCTAATTTTCTAGACAGTGGGAAGATGTCAGTCATATATATAGTAAGTAGCAGAACCTAGCCTCTCCGTCTCCAAACCAGCCCTCTTTTCACTATATCACACTGCGTCTATGATTATACTTTTCACATTTCAGAGTACTGGATCACTCACACACTATATTTTTTTATTCCGTATTTGTGCTATTACCATATGTTGATTACTCCATAAATAAAAATGTACTCACCTGTGTAAGTCTTCCATATTCTTATCCCACATGGAACAAGTCAGCCCAGATCTTGTTTTGGATAAACTTCCCATATAATTTTTGCCATTTCCACGATAACAGTCTAAATTATAATATAAAAGTATGGGAAGATAATCATTGAAGAAATTTTTAGCAGAATGTAAGGAAAATGATTCCTTTAAAGCACTAAACTGAAGTCAACAAAATGCTATAAAAAGCTATTTACAAATAAACTGTTCACAATACACATGACTCAAAATACAAAATTCCTACTCAAATTCCAAGGCCTTTAATCTGGAACAATTATATGCTGCTTTTTTTAAGCTAAGTTGAAGACCTAAACAAGTTCACTGATATCCTATATTAAAAATAAGTAAATATGAATTTAAGAACCATTGCAGTAATAAAAAATAAAAGTTTCTAGCATAAATTTTTAATGTCATTTTAAGAATTGGAAAAGCCTATAGTAGAAAAAGTACTAGAAAAAGAATTCAGACATCTGGGCTCTAGTCCTGTCTGTGCCATCAGTTCTTCGGGCAAACTTGGGCAGGTTATTCTGTTTCTTTGCCTCTTTGTTCCGACATCTCTAAAATTTGCATATTGGTTTAAGCCATGGATTCTTAACCTTTTTTGTGTATGTCATGGACCCCTTTTGGCTCTTTGGTGACACTTATGTGTTCCTTCTCAGATGAATGTTTTTAAGAAAAAAAATCATAATTGAAGGAAATGGTAATGTTCAGTTAGTGCAAATAAACAATATATATGTATATTTGTATATTATATATATATACATATGTGTGTATATATACATATATATACATATACATATATATATATATACATGTGTGTCTTATTTATTTCCTATCCAAGTTCACAAACACATACATACATACCCTTCATCCCAACAAAATTCATTTTATATACCTGGGATGGGGGTGGGGGTTGGGCATCAGGTTAAGAACCTCTGATCTATTTCATCTTTAATATCCCTTTCAATGCTAACAGTTCTAGGGCATTCTAAGGCATTTTTCTAACATTTTTAGTTGTAGTCAAATGAAGGGCACACTTAATTCCAATATCTGCCTGGGCATTTATCATAATGCCACTTATTGTTAGTTAACTTTTTACATGCACATATCCCCAAGTAGATTGTAAGCTTCTTGGAGATAGGGAATATGTCTTTCATGCCTTCTTCTTATCTCACACTTTACCTTTCATAGTAATTTATCCCAATTAGTTGCTTAATGAAAATTGGCTGATTATTTGATTAACAATAATGGCTAAAATTATGTAATGCCTATTCTATGACAGTCACTGTGTGAAGTACTTCACAGATATCTCATTTCATCCCCACAACAACCTTGGGAGGTAGGTGCTGTTATACCCATTTTACCAATGAGGAAACTAAGGCAAATGGCAGTTAAGTGACTTACCTAAGGTCACACCAACAGTATCTGAGACCAGATTTGAACTGAGGTCTAGGAAGATGTAGAACTTGACACTCTATCTACTGAGCCACCTGAAATATATTCTTTTTCTTATATTTACTTATCTGTGTACTTCTCTATGTATCTACCCTCCTATGTAGAATGAAGGCAAGGACTGTTAAATTTTTTGTTTCTGTCTCCAACATCTAGCACAGTGCTTTGTATGCAGTAGGTGCTTAATAAGTATTTATTGAATTTTTTTCTGCAAATTGATTTTAATATGCTTTTCTGTTTTTCTTGAAGCCTTTCTTAGATAATTAACTCAAAAAAAAAACTTCTGTGTGTAGATCTCTTTGTACCACGTCTAACAACCCACATGTTATGCTTAGTTAGACATTCAATATAAGAAAATTTTATTTATGACTGTTTTAGGAAACATTTTGATTGAAGTATAATTGGAAATTTTTTTCAACATTATTGTTGAAAATGTTTCTTAAATATATTATTAAAACTAACTGAATATATAAAAAAATGTAATCTTGAGTTAAGATGATCTTAGAGTGCCCTTACAATTATCATTTGAAAATGAACTATCATTACCTGTGTTTTGGAATCAGAAACTATGAACTGCTAATACTACAACATACTATGATTAAAAAAAAATCAAGGATATCAACTTGTTTATTTTCAATGAATATAATTTAAATGAATTTTGATAATAATCAGATATTTATCAGCAATAAGCATTTCTAAACTTTGTATTTAGTCCTCAAAGTTTTCTTTCTTCTCTATTTTTCCCTATACAGGACTACTTAAGACAGCTTAAGTGTGTGGATTTGACTCACTGATAGTTATTTGTGAAACTTTTTATGAAAATCCCCCATCAATGTGACAGAAACTTGGAAAAAAATGCTTTTTTCCTACCAGAAAACTGTTTTGCTACTGTTGAAACAATTCTTGAGCCAAAAATAAGTGTTTTGTACAGATCTTATTTGGGGATATCCCAAATAATTCAAAAACAATGAATTTCAATATTTAGGGAAAATATTTTATAATATAATATAATTTCATTATATTTTAATAAAATGTAAATCCTAATTATGATAATGAGGAGAAATGTATATCTCTAGCATCTCCATACAGATCTTAATCTCCAAATCTATTTTCTTCCCCAGCTTCTTCATAGAGTTCCAATCAGTTATTCAATTAATCAGTCAACAAACATCTCTTAAGTACTTACTTTGTACCAAGCACTGGGGATACAAAGCAAAAGCAAAAAATCAAAGTCAGACCATATCTAAATTAGACCATATAAGATGAGTGCTGATAGAAAGTAACTCAAATTTCCAATTGCCTGTTGAATACTTTAACCTAAAATCAAACTCAACATGCCCCAAAGTTAACTCATGACCTCCTGCTAAAAACTGCCCCTCCTCTTAACTTCATCTCTATTTAATGATACCACATGCCTCTCAGTCTCTCAGTTATCTCTGACCGATAACCTCTAAATCACCTTTTGCTTTCCTTTCTTCCTTAGCCCATCCACTCAATCATCCATGCTACCTCAGGTCCTCCTCCTTGCTCACCTTGATTATTACAATTGCTTTCTAATTGGTCTTGTTTCCATCCTATCTCGTCTGCAGTCCATCACTACCTGAGTAATCAGTCTTGAATATGCACTTCTATTATAATTTTAGAGCTATTAAAAACCCTTCAATGACTGAGACTTTGCTCATATCACTGTTCATGCATAACTGAGACTTCTTCTCTACTCCCAGACTTCTATCTCTGTTAAAATTCTTTCCTTCTTCAATATCCAATTCAGAATCCACTTCTGTCAGAAAGCCTTCCCTATCCACCAAGTGAGAGTGAACTCTGCCTCAGCAGATCTCTTACAGAATTTTTCATGGCTCTTATTGGCCCTCATCCCATTCTTCCTTATAGCTATGTATTCATGAGCATCAGTTCCTATCCCCCATGCCCATCTCATTACACTGTAAGCTCCCTGAAAGTAGTGACATTCTTCTCTTTATATTCTTAGTGCCTAGAACAATGCCTTGAGAACAGTAAGGCTTAATCAATCTTGGTCAAATTGAATTGAATACACTACATATGTGCCTTAAAACAGCTTAATAATACAAACCCAAGGCTCATACAGGAATAATACTAATTTCACCCTATTGGCCCCTCTTTCAAAACGAATCTATGTGAATAACACAGACAAGTAGAAAACACAGATGTTACCAAACCTCCTTTTAATAATTGGTTTCAACTTCTTGTTCTGACCATTACTCTAATGAACAGTAAAACTGACTGGGGATTCAACTGCTTTCCCATCCCCAACTCCTCCTTTCACAGCTGCTAATGAGCAGTGACACTGGGAAGATGGCACTGGAAGATGGAAGGACAGTTGATAAGAGCAATAACTGTCATTCTTCTCTCTGTATTCCCAGTGGCTAGCACTGGGAATAAATAAAGGCTTAAGAGATATATTGGTCATATTGAATTAAATATATTGAACATGTGCCTTTAAGAAGCCTAATACAAATGCAAGTATAGAAAGTATAGAAAGCACTGAGGTAAATTCCATAGAATGATCTTGGCTATATCCTAGACAATTCAGACATGATTATGCAATATCATACTTGCCTATCTACATAGCTATCTATAGACAGAAATATACATCTGTTTATCCTTGCAAATACATATGTATGTGTATATTACATGCACACATACTATAGAAAGAGGTTCCCAAATTCATTTGGCCTATCACTCCCTTTTCAAAAAAAAATTACTCAGCATCCACCTGGAAATCTACTTTCATTAACCTTTTAATGGACTTTTAGAAATTTGTGTCATTTCAAAAAATATTTTTTTTAAATGATGCACCTTAAATTTAATAATTTATTGTAAATTTGTGGGTTTTTTCCTACATTGAAATTTTGATGACATAATATTGCATCATGTAACCACATATATCATGTTGTAAAGAAGTCATTAAACACATATTCCTGCCAATGTATGCTGGACTTCCCAACAATGTGCTCACTTGCCAACACTTGCTTGTTAAGACCTGTTGGCAGACTTGACCACTGATTGGTTATAACTTTCATTTTGTGTGTTTACTTGGAAAATAATGTAATCACTACAACTTTAACTGTTATATAACAGATGAAATGTATTAATGATTTTTCAAAATTCTCTTATCTTCTTTTCTTTCCTCATGCTTCCACCACCTCCTTATTTTTATTCACCCCCAGTTGCACCTGAGGCTACAACCACCTCCCTGGATTGTTCCAGTGCCCCCCAGAGGGCAATATTGCCCACTTTGGGAATCTCTGCATGTAGATAGATAGGAATGAGGAATGTACCTGTGAATTCATTGGTTTGGGGAAATCCCTAGAGGGGAGGAACCCCTCTATCAATGCATACTGGTATCTTCTCTGTAATTATAGTCTTAGAGAATTGTCTAGAATATTAAGAGGCTTGCCTAAGATCATACTACCATCATGTGTCAAGGATGAAACTTGAACCTAGAATAATCTTGCCTTCTAAACTGTCTCTCTAAGCACTGTATCATGCTATAGATAAATAGACAGATAGTTAAAGATGAATAGATAGATTATAGATAAATGAGACAGACTAATATAAAATATAGATAAACATACATACTTTTTTGTATAGATAGAATACTGAAGCACCGGTCCTCAATCTTGTCCTCAATTTATTCACTCTTACCTAATTTAGTTATGTACAAAATGTATAATGATCCTGTACCTTGTTGACTTGAAACATCACATTTTGGAATCTGGGAACAATAACCAATTCGAATGTTTGGATCTGTTGTAAAACACCAGGGTGATTCAGCCCCATCTGGATTTCGACAGTAATTTTCTCTTAAGTCTCTATGAAAAAAAAAATAATGTGACTGTAAATTGGATGTTTCATGTTCACGAAATCAATACTATGATACTTCTAAAAATACAGAATGCATGTAATGGATAAATGAAATCCCATGTATAAAGAATTCCTGAGATATCATTTAAAGTATTTTTAAAGACAAGTACAATTTTGTATCAGATATATCTTTATTTACTTTATGTTAAGCTGAGAAGGGTGATAGTTAATGGTGGTAATGGATTTGATAGGTAAGGCACGTTATTCACTTAAACGTGTTTTAAGAAGCAGTACAATATAGAACAGAATTGAATGTAGAACCCGTAAATTTGAAATTATGAAAGTTCTAAAATGGGAATCTAAATATAACTCAACAAATTTAACAAGTGTACCATAAGACTTATATAATTCTCCCTTTTCAACTTTTGTGCATTTTCACAAAGTGCCTCCCATACCTAGAAGAGACTCCTTCCATATCTGTATCAATAGCCTTCCCTTCCTTCAAAGCCCAGTTCATGTGCCACCTCTTCCATGAAGTCTTTCAGATTCTCTCAACTAGAAGTAATTCTTTCTTTTTGAAACCCATATGTATCTTTGTTGACTTTTTCTATACATTTATCACTGTTTAATTTGTATTAAATTTTTGGTGTGTGTATTAATCTCCCATTAGACTATAAGCTCCTTGAAGGCAGGTGCTGTCTTTTGTTTTATTTCTATTTCCAGTGCCTTGTGTATACTTAAATTTTGATGGATTTACAAAAAATTGAATCTTTTCTATATCACTCCAAAAAAAGCTCTGCATAGGATCTATCTGGTAGGCTGGATGACTTCCATATTTTTGTTAATATTAATGAAAGCCAATATAGAACTTATACTATCTGCTTTTTGATTGCAATTCTCACTTTGTGATTGGGCTACTACCTTTTCTGGTCATACATATCCTCAATGACATTTTTATACATATATATACTATATACAAGCCATTATTGGTAATATGTCTGCTTATGTCTACCATGTATCTCTTCATTACTCTTTGGGGTTCCTACAATTTTTGTTCTTCTGAGATTAGGGTTTTCTATAATTTGTAGGAATAAAGGGATTCTTAGTCTGATAAGGATTGAACTAGATCACCTTCACATTCCCTTTCAATATTTATATACTATGATATTAGCATTTAGAGGCAGTTAAGTGGTACAATGGATAGAGCACTAGGCAGAATCAGGAGGACGTAAGTTCAAATATGGCCTTAAATACATACTAACTGTGTAACCTTGGGCAAGTCACTAACCTCCTTCTGCCTCAATTTCCTCAACTGTAAAATGTGAATCATAATACCTTTAGCAGGGTTGTTCTGAGGATCAAATGAGATAATACAAGTTAATAAATGTGCTTCTCATATTACTTGGTACTTAGTAGATGTTTAAAAATGTTTATTCCTATTATTACAACTAAACAATGGGCTTTGACAGCGAAGAGGAGCTTGGCATCATTAAAAATGCCTTACAGTTTCATAAATGTAATCCAGCTCCCTCTCTTTTGCCTACCCAATTATGGGACCAACTCATGATCCATTTCTAGATTCTCTTCAAGATATAAACCCTCACACATTTACTTATGCCTGTCATAAGCTGAGCAATATTTTCATCTACTTTGGGTTTTGTCTTCTAGTATAGAAGTGACTGTGTATTTTAAATACTTCTAATATTTAAGTGACTGTGGAACTCATTTATAAGAAACTAGAGTTTTTCAGAGCTCTAATGAATCACTGAAAGGTTATCTGTGATCAGGAGCACCTAGAGAACCTCATAATCAATAGGGAATTTCTGTAATATTTGGGTTCTATTTACAGACTTCTCTGTACAGATTCTGGCAAATGCCTTTAGAAAACTGTTTCCTCTGTTACCTTGTTACCTCTCACATGGTAGCTACTTTAAAAATGTTTTTGAATATACTATCCTCTTTATTTTATCAATGACTTAACTAGGAAAGTAGATAATGTAATAAGTATAGAAAGTATGCTGAAATCCTAAATGGATGAATATAATTTTAGATAATTTTTCAAAAATACTTTCAAACTTGTAATGAAATGCTCAAAAACCAAATGTGGTTTTGAATATGTACACTTCTGGGAATTTTTCCCTATTTTTTTGCCTTCATAGACATTATAAGTCAGTGAAAGCTAATTTTATAATAAGGTTTCATGTGTTCTTATTACAAAAGAAAATAATTCAGAAGCACTTCAAAGTTTATTGCAAAATATTATTTTTAAAAACTTAAGTGATTTTATGTGGCATAATCACTCATTTATACCTAAGAAGCCTACCTGAAATAGAGAACTTTTTAAAGGAAAGAACATGTAACTGGCTATAAATATACGACAGTGAAGCTACCGTATCATCAACCCAGTTTCAGGTTGGCAACCACTTCTATTACATCTCTCATTTCATTTCTCTGACTGCCTTAAGTCCTAGCACAGACTGTTTCATTTAAGGATGTAAGAACATTGATTGCCAAAGTTTCAAACTCATTGAATGGCATGTGTTCATAATTTGAGACCAAACTCAAACCTTTGGCTGCTCTAGCCCTTATGAAAAAGCCAATTATTAAGAAAAAATTAATAAGAGTAAAAGTCTTTTTTTCTGTGACACCACATACTTACATTTTGATAAATTATGTGTGAGCATGAAATGTGTATATTAAATTTCACATAAAATGTGCTTAGTTTACAATTTTAAACAAATAAGTATTTGGTGAAATAAGATGGTTTTTTTAATTTGACCCAAAATAACTAAATGAAAGCATGAGGTACACAGTAACCCTGCATATTTACCAATGCCAAATTTTGTATAGTGTCTGAGGTGAGTGTCTAAATCCGGAAACACCTCATTAATCCGGGTTGAGCTAGAAAAGAAGACTAGGCTCACCCTAATATTTTTCCTGAATTCTTTCCTCTCTATTGAAACATGAATTGTTTACAGCTGCTAATGAAGTGGGGATAAAAGGAAGAGGTAATTATGTGATTCATATTACTTCATCACAAACGGCATCATTAAACAATATATCTTGGCAAAGCTCTCATTTAAAAAAAAAGATTCAGCATCTGAAAGAAAGAGCATTTCAATGGCACTGAAATTTGATGTGAAGTATTTCAAAAGTAATAAGAAACTTAGCAATGTGCCACATTCTGCCAGGCCAACACACTAACAGATGAACTCATGAATACTCTATGGCAAAAATCCTGGGCTAGACAATGTGGCTTTCATTCTTTATTTTAGATTTTTTGTTTGCATTTGTCTTTAGTAAATTAAAGAATAATTCTTCATGAAATAATAGTTCAAAGGAAAAGAATCTGACTTGAATTTCTTAGACCCCAATTACTACTTTGACCTTCATAATTCACATGGATATGAAATATATGGATTAAGTTCATATGCTTATTCTATTTTCTCTGAAGGAAAAGTCAGTTACATGTTTTATCACACAGTTTATACAATAATCTCTTAAATATACATCATAATCTAACATTAATCTGGCATAATCTAAGTGTTTTTCCTCTTCTTTTTTTATAAGTATCTTTTGTCTTTACATTTTGATTTTAACTTCTAATTGTATGGCATCATGGTCAGTTATAATGGATGATTAATTATGTAGACATGGAATGGGGGAAAAATTGGGAGTGGGGCACTAACAAGTTAACAATAACAAAACAAGCTTAGTATGAGCTCTGCAGTCTACATAGGTAAATTGTCTTTAAATATACATACGTGCATACATAAATATATGTGTGTATATGTATATACATATCTATGTGTGTGTGTGTATGTATATCTGGTATATATATATATATGATATTGGACTGACTAAATTATTTACAATATCTGTTACCTAAACCTACCAGTTTAAGCTCAAAGATCTATTTCTTGAAATACTAGAATTAAAAATGCGTCCAAAACATTTAAGTTTGAGGGGAAAAAATCAAAAGTATCCTTAATCAAAATTTAATTACAACAAAGTCAAAGAACATTACTTACTGGTATTATATTTAATAAAGAGAAGACAATATTATCAACATGTCATATTTTCAAAAGCAATCATTTTATCTTCTAATAACTGAGTGGTCAGTTTAAACATACATGGCATTATGGGCTATCTTACAAGAAAAGGAAAGTAGACTATAACTAATTTCATGTAACATTATATCCATATCATAGCAATTAATGCTAAAAAAAAGGTTTCTTTGGCTTAAATTATTCAGATAATTACTTTAGTTTCCCATTTAACATGGCTTATTTGGATTTACTCTGAGAAATTTATTTGAGCTTTAAATATTTGTATATATTTAATTTTTATCATAGTTTTCAATAAATGCTTTCCATGCTACAAAATTATGTCTGAAAAAGGGTCTCTTTTGTGGCAAAAAAACCTACTCTCCTCCAAAATTAATTTGCAAACTCAAGAAAACACCAAAAATTAGCATTCTTGCCATCCTTTAATTGTTATTAAAATGTGCATGCAGGGGGGAAAAAGGGTTATGACTAGAAATGTTAAAGTTGACTTCCTTGTCTCTTCCTGCTCAATGGACAAGCTGACATGGCCAGTAATATTTTTCATCAAATTATACATACTTGCACTTGAAGTTCTCAGGAGTTATATGATGCTGATGAGGATACTGGGAGTCCCAGCGCTGGCACGGAATTCCACTCCATATTGTATTCACAGCACCTCGATAACCTTCTCCTTGACCTCTGACACAGTGGGTTGTTTCCATAGGAATATCACTATTATTCATAGTACTATGAGCTATTTAAAATAAAAGGGGGGGGGGAAGTACTCTTGTTACACATCATAGCTTTGGTTGGTTTTTCAAAGTCCATTCATATTGTTGGTGTATTCTTATCATTTTAGAAAGTTCTTTAAGTATTTGACTTGATCCATAATGCCAAATAACAGTTATAGATAGTGTCCTGCATTCATGTTTTCCCATTAATCCAAATCCTAGAGGAAAGAATTGAGTACTTTCCTAAAGGCAAAATATATGTGTGTATGTATATATACATTTATATGTATATGCACACATATGCATATGTATATGTGTGCAAATGTATGTATATGTAGATGTATAACATATTGCCACTATGATTGACAGTTTCACAATATTAAAATTATATTTCTCTGATGCTCTAAAATCATGAAGTTTTTAATGTGTTTTACCCATGATCTTGCCTTTAACAAAATAATTAATACAGTCTATAAACTCCATGGGAATTCATACTTATCAAAGTGCTAATGTAACTTTTTACTAGTGTTTTAAGTAGAGTACTTTAAATGTTCCTTTCATTCATGTTTAAACTCCATTGTATCAGCTAACATTAATTTCTTCAGTCTCCTTGTAAGATCTTCTATAGTACTTACCACTTTTCTTGATGGTTATGAAACTCACTAACAGAATAAAAATGAGCAAAATTCAGTTTCTACTAGAATTTATGATCTTCATTTTTGCCATTACACTGATTCAGTTCACAAAAAAATAAATATCTGTCTACCACTTTGAAAATATGATCAAAAAGTATAGAAGAACTATATTTGAAACTTTTCCAAATTATTATTTATGGACTCTTCTTAAGTCTGTCTACTCTAGGCGATTTATCATTTTTTGTTCTACAACTACCTATGTGTGTGTATATATATATATATATATATATATATATATATATATATATACATGCATTTTCCCTAATTCTGACATGTTTTCCTTTATGAATGCCAGGCAACAAATATTACATGTTGAATGCAGGGATTCAAGTCAAACTTAATGGAGCAGGTTTAAATACCCCAATCAACTCTGCTTCTCCAGGTTCTTCTGGATAAGAGATAAACAGAGAACCCATAGGAATGTTCTACATCAGAATTTCACATCTGTTCTTCAATCCTGAACCACAATTGCAGAGAAAAGCCAAATCAAATCTGTCTTCAGCAATGGAGAACTGAAATGGATTTGGCTTGTTATTGGCCTCTTGTCCCCACCTGATCCTTAAAGTATAATGTAAGCTCCTTGAGGTCAGGAATTGTTTTATTTTTGTTTTCACATCCTTTGCAGCCATAGTAGCACTGTGTGTGACACAGAAGGCTATTAAAATAAACATTAGTCCATTGACTCATAATTGCAGAACATTTTATGCATCAGCATTTAGAGGTTAGAACTCTTCTTTGTCATTTTGCTTCATTTCTATGTTGGAAGAGAATTTTCAGTTTGGAAGTTTATTCTCAGAAGAGTTCACAACCTGGGCCTAATCTACCCTTCCGGCCTTGGTATCCCCATCCTGCACTCCATGGTCCAGTCAAACTTTCCTCCTTATTTATTGTTCCTTATATAGTACACTCCATCATCATCACTGGATATTCATCACTGGGTATTCTCCATGCCCAGAATGCACTCTATCCTATCCTCCACATTTTAGAAACTTTTGTTTCCTTTAAAACTGAGCTCAAGAACTGCTATCTATATGAAGTCTTTCTGAATTTGCTTAGCTCCTAATGCCCTTCCTCCCAAAACTCAGTGATTTTTATTTTGTTTATAGTGTGTACACACCTTTGTATGCATGCCTCTTCTAATAATTAAGCTAGTTGATGGCATGGACTGCTTCATTTTTGTCTATGTTTGCCCAGAATTTAGCACAGTGCTGGATAAGTATTAGGTGCTTAATAAATGCTTGTTGATTGAATGTAACTGAAGTTTTAAAAAGAAAATCCCTTTCACTTTAAAACAAAAAAGATCTGAAACTGATTGAAAATACAAAATCATTTTTATTGTACTGTGGAATGCATTATGTAGTTTTCTGTCTGATACTAAATTTGGTTTGCAATTTCTAACTACATACCACATTATAGCAGAGTGGCATATTTATTAGAGACAGATTAGGTAATATAGAGAAGGCTGCAGCCTTCTCTATAGACAAAGAGACAGTGACCACATAAACTGACAAATAAGATAATCAAGAGCTGATTGTACATGGAACCCAATCCTAAAATGCAGCTAATGAAAGACAAGTAAATGGAAGAATAAGAATATTGGTATCTGTATAAGTGACATCCATATGTTGATGCTGGTCAGTTTGCTGTTACATGAGTTCAGTGACGTTGATCAGCGATGATTTGAAGTTCATTAGTACTATTGTCAAGAGAACTGGAGCATCTGTATTGCTTCAAAGATAACTCTATAGACAACTATATTTCTAATGTTTTAAATTAACTATAAATGGATTAAGAGGTAGCATGGTTCAGCAGAAAGAGTTTAGGAATGAACAGTCCCACCTCTAACACTTACTACCTGTATGATCTTGGTCAAGTAATTTAATCTCAGTAGACCTCAGTTTCCTCATTGACAAAGCAAACTAGATGACTTCTAAGTTCTTTAGATCTAGGTAGTAGATCTATGTACCTACAATCCTATAGTTTATGAAACAGGGAAAACACATGGTAGAACTTCGCAAATTGAGAACATAAAAAGATACACATTCAAGATTATTTGAAAATATTTCACTTCCTGTTATGAATTATGATATGAATAAGAAGAAAATTAATTACTATTGAAATTCATCATTTAATTTACTTTAAATTATAATGGCAACATTTTTTTCACATTTATCACCTAAGGCAGATATACATACTTGCATATTTGGGAACTCAGTCTTGCCTCCACACTCCTTCAGTGAGGGGCAAGGGTAAGCAGAGAAAAGCCAAAAAGAGTATGCTCACCTGGGTTACCTTGAAACTTACTCACTGGTTTTATGAACCTCTCTTTAGGATTCCCATTACTCATCCTATTAGTATGTATAATAGGGACATTTGCCAGGTACCACCCAATGCCATGCAAAAAGAACTGTTGTTCTGTGGTGAGCATGGGCTATAAACTTAGAACAAGATTCCAAATCTCAAAGGAAGTAAAAAAAGGTTCTCCTTCTGCATATATAGAGTATCTTACTTAAATATTCAAGTGGATGCAAAAAGGCAAATCAGTATGTACATTCAAATTCAAAGTATTGCATCCATAAATATTGATTTTGCCTTCATAAGATTTCTTATATGTGTCCCCATCTCTCCTCTGACACTGCTACTACCCTGGTGCAGTCCCTTATCACCTCAAACCTAGACTATTGCAATAGCATTCTGGTGAGTCTTTTTGACTCTAATCTATCCCCACTCCAGTCCAACCACCATTCAGCTATCAAAATGATTTTTCTAAAACACAGATTTGACTGTATCAACCCTCTATTCAATGACTTACAGTGGCTCTCTATCACCTCTAGGAACAATTAAAAATTTCTCTGGTTGCCTTTTCAAGCCCTTCATCATCTGGCCCCTTCTTGCCTTTCCAGTCTTCTTATATATTATTCCCCTATATATACTCTACAATTTAGTGATATGACCTCCTTGCTGCTCTTTGAACAAGAAATCTATTTTCACAGGTTGCCCCCCTAAACCTGGGATGTTTGTCCTTCTTATCTCCATCACCTGGCTTTCTTGACTTCCTTCAAGCCCCAGCTTCTATTTCCCCTTCCCTTTTATTTTTAGTGTCTCCCTTCAGTTAACAATTTTGTATTTAACTTGTATATATCTTCTTTATATATAGTTCTCTATGCATTCTCTCCCCATTAGACTGTGGATGGCTGGAGAGCAGGTTTTGTCTTTGAATCTCCAGTGCTTAGTAGAGTGTCTGGCACACATTAAGCACTTAATAAATGTTTATTTACCAACCTGACTAATGTTGGATATTCAGAATAATTTTATATTTTAATGATTTCAGACCAGACCTGTGATTTCATTGGTAGAGGGAATAGGAAATTCCCTCTACCAATGAAGGTTATCATGTTTTATGTAACATATAATCTTAGAATATTGGTAGACCACTGAAAGATTAAATAACTTGAAAGATTCTACACAGCCAGTACGTGGCAAAGCAGGACCTGATCCCAGGTACTCCTGACCTATCCACTCTATCCCACTGCCTCTGAAAATGGCATATTATTATTATCCAAAGGGATGTAGTTAAAAAAAAATCATGAAAAATTTTCTCTATCATATTCATGTCTGGTTAGTAAAGATACATTGAGAGAAGAAATTGTTACTCACTAACACATGAAGCTGTATGAAGAGAAATCAGAGAATTTGAATATTAATGTTGGGTGACATTTTCCATATCTTAATTATAATGATTCTTTTTTTGACGTAGACATAGGTTAAAAAGGACCTAATATGTTACTCAAATCTTAAGTTGAAGAACAAACCATTCATATAAAAAAAAGTTGAAGAAGGTGCCCCAGAGTGAGGTGATTTACCCGTGCATGTTAAATATATAACCTGCAAAATGCTGACAAGGTCGATACCAAGCACTAGGGAATGAAAACTAGATGCTAATTATGGCATTGAGATGATCCAGGGCAGATTTAAATCATGAAATACACATACATATGTGTGTGTGTGTTTTAAATGTTTCGGGAATCTTGATGAGATAATAATTTGGGTCATTTACTTCACTTTCTTTTGACTTAATTGCTTCTTTTCAGCATGTGTGTTTTTCTTAAACTTTTCACAGTGGTTGTTTAGATAGCCACTGAATCCTTCAGGGGGAAAAATAACAAAAATATAAAAACAAAAACAAAAAAATCTCCAAACCACACAAAAAAACAAAACTACCCTCATATTTCCAATTACTCAACAGTTTCTTGCCAGTGGAAGAGGTGGGGAAGAGAAAAGTTTATAAAAACTCTTTGGATTCCAAATATTTAGAAGAGCACAAACAT